TGTGTCTGATGAAATTTTAAAGAAACACTGGGATTACAAAATATAAATAATTAATGTGAATAATTAAAATCGTAATTTATTTATATTATTTTGTTTGAAGTTTTTAATATATGTACAAAAAGATAGGGTTTTGCTAATCTTTTTCTTTTCCACAACATGTCCACAATAAATCTTGCCAGGCCCCAGAATGCAAAGTTATCATCGATGGTCCCAACGAAGCAATTGCAATCGCACTATTCAACAGCCACCAACTTCACCATACTCCAAACTTGATTGACATTCATTCAGCTTAATGGCACCAAAAATAGATTATCTTCACATTGGTCGGGACATCTCAAAAGATGAGTGGGCAAACTTTATCCTAACATTGTTCAAGAGATGTGCAGACATCAGGCAAAATAAAGATTACGGAATAACTTCAATGCTGTGAAGACGGTCTCGGAAATCAACCACTCAAAAAAAACCCTAATATAATAACGAAAACAATGAGACATTTCTAAAAACAATGAAAAACCTGGCTGTTATTCCAGTGATCATTTGTGTCAGAAGAGTTAAATGCCTCCATGAGACAGGGACACAACGAAAATATTTGATCACTCTATGTAAAAATGAAGGCAAGGCTGCTACCTACAACTTCACTGTACAATGCAACTGCCACCCACAAACAAGTGTTAATTTTACCGATGAGATAACAAGACATTGTTATTGCTGGACTATCAGACATTGCCATCCGTAAAGGTATGCTTGGATAGGTCTCCCTTGACACAGCCTCAATCACTGATATCATTGCTTTTATCGAGGTTAAGGAAATGTCACAAAATGCACTAGGTTCAACAATAGAAAGTGTATCAACTCTCACACAGGGTATTAAAGATAACTAAATGTCCATATTAGTCAAAATCTTTCTATTTATTTACAGAATCATCTAGAGGATGGAACGCAAAACCTCACAAGCTATGTTTAGACTGTTGGAAGAAGCTTAGACCTTGCAATTTTAAAATCAACAACAGAATCATCCCAAATGATATGAAGTTGTTAAAGTTTCTTTTGTTAAAGTGGAACTCAATTGAGTATTCAAACTGAAAAAAAAATGTCTAATGTAAAGCGACATTTCACAGAAATAATCCATTACATATTTACCCATGATGGATGGGCCACAGCTCAATTTCTTGTTCTTCCTCAGCCAGTTGTGACAACCAACAAATCAGACTGCGATGCATTTGGTATCCTATTTTAATTCTATTTCCTCCCATTATACCGAAATATATAAAAGTTATTACATATACCGGTGCACAGTCTTGCATATGGTCTAGAAAAGGGTTTAAAAGTAAAAGTTTTAAGGCAAATATTTATAGCATGTTAGCTACCCAAAAATCCAGTTTTGTATTGAAGGTGCAATTCTTTTACGTCTTTAAGGACAACAACCTAACGGCAACCAAGTTGAATGAGCGGTAATGGTTTACATAAGTCCAGGTGCAAACTAATTCTACTTACCTGAAGAAGCAATGACCCAACTGTGAATTATCTTTAAGACTTTCTAGAGATTGGAAATGCCCTCCATGGAGGTATTAACTTAGCTCCCTAGGCTAAAGGGACAAAAACATCAAGTGAAAATAATACCATACATGTGTGTTATTGTCCCAAAAGAAGTCTTCCACCAAGTGCACTCATCAAACTTCCATTTGATTACTCTCCTACGAACGGATGAAAACTTGGCTTTTTGAAGGATACTCTGCCTCAATATTTGACACATGCTCACACTAGATTCTACCTGGAGTTTTTGAAAAAAATACCTCGTGGAGGACCTACAACATGGCGCCACAGACGGTGGGCCTTGATCTGTCTCCATTGAACAAAAACTTGCAATGATTGCATGAATAAATTCTTGAATAATTGCATAAAAATGCTTGAAACTTTATAAACAAATACTATTGTATTTAGGAAAAGCAGAATGTGTGCAATTTTTTATGTAGTGCATAAATATTGATTATTTTTGTAAATTAAGGTACTGTTTGGATGAAGTAGCTCCTTTTAACTACTCCATACCAAGTCAGTTTCAGGATCATCACAATCACCCAGCTACTGGTATTATGTAACCCAGTAATACATACCCCATGCCATGCTGCTTTGTAAAGTATTCATTTTAACAAACAAACTCCAAAATACTTAAAAACCCCCTGCCTTGGGATCTTTAGAAGTAAGCAGTATATTTCTGCTAACTAAGCCTCGAACTCCAAATTCCTCTATTAAACCGGCTTAGATGTAAACCTGTATAACATTGTTTTCTGCCTAGAATAATGAATGCTAAATCCTCTTGACTCTACTTATAGGTTTTCGCTTGTGTCTCTTTGAAGAGAAGCTGGTTCCATCAACAGCTGCTGTATATCAGAGTATTAACAGTGCCATATTTCGCCTGGATTGTGTCCCTGTTAATGATTTTGATGAGCATTGTCTAGGCCACTTAAGTAGCCCTCTGTGCTCTATCTATGAATGAGTCAAGTTCTCTTTAAACTTAAATTATCAAGTTCTCTTTAAATTTAAACTTAAAAAAGTAACCAAAAATATTAAACATTATTAACCATCACCATTACCTAACTTTTTTAACATTTTTTTTACAAATATTCGTGGTCTGCGAACCTTCCATCAGTTGAATCTTACGTAAGATTCATCTGATGGAAGGTTTTGCAAGAGGTAATTACCTCTTGCAAAATTCACCAGACTCGCTTGCTCTTAGTGAGAATAATTTAGGTTCCAAAATTACTTTTTTCAGATCTCAGTGTTAATGAGTACTATCCTTTAATTCGCAAAGACTCCAGAAATAACATGCTTGGCTTGGAGTTATACATACGTATCAATTTATCTATTTGAAGTAAAATTAAATTTGAATTCTTTGACTATTCTTTTAGGTGCTTCCGCTCAGCACCTCTTCAATTTCCGCTTAGCACCTCTTCAATTTCAGCTCAGCGCCTCTTCAATCAATCATCTTTTTCTTTATTCTTGTTTTCCTTCTTCTAAAGAATGCACTCATTTTGATGTTTTTTCTGATCAAATTCACCTGCCCTTCTTTACCTCTCTGCCAATTTATTTGTAATATAATTTTTATATATTTTTTAATATTGTTTTATTAGTGACTTTAATGCTCATCACACTCAATGGCTTGACTCTAACTAAGAGATTGAGAAATGCAGAATTCATAGGCACTAAAGCCTATGAATTCTGCATTTCTCAATCTCTTACTCAGATAATTATGTGACTCTTTTTCCTAATTATTTACCTTTACTCCTTAATTTATGTTTTGTCTCTGATCCTACCTTGTGTCCAGTTTCTTCTTTTTCTCTCTTAGGTGATTCTGATCATACAATGATCTCTTTAAATATTTTATATCGTACTTTCTTTTCTGGCTCATCCTATCATGAGATTCATTTCGTGATTTTCTTTGTGACGGTCTTTGGGCTGATATTTTTTCTCTCTAAATCTCGTTCTTATAGCAAAACTTCCCAGCCGGCACAAGACGTGTCCAATACGTATTCTACTTGTCTAATTTTCGTATTATACAAATAATACGCGTTGTATACGTTTTAAATACGTATACCTGTATACTAAATAGCGTCTAAATAAACTGTTTGAGAAGTACTTTCAATACGAGGTACTTTCAATAAGAGGCTTTCAGTTTCCGCGTCGTTAAACCAAATCGAGCACGTTTTATGTAGGTTATTGATTTTATGTACTTGTAAAGAAATGGCGTATTATCGTAAATACAGAAGATTAAATGCTGAACTTAAGAAAATCGTTAAAGAGGAAGATAGTTTTAGTTCTAATGAAGATAACTCTTTGGTTACTGATACTTTATGTGTCAAAAATGTAGTTTCAGTTTGCACTAATGACGTGACTAGTAAAAATATCGATTTAGGTGTGCTCTCTGAGTCAGACAGAACGTCAAAATCCATATCGTTAGAGTCTGACCGAAGTTATGATGAATGTGATTTTAATACTGTTCCAGCAATGCATCCTACATTAGACGATGATAGTGGTCACAGTGATAATGGAGATAAAGATATCACTTATGGTCTAGTTAGCTTATCATGTAAACACAATTTATCAAGATCTTGCATGGACGATTTACTCAAACTTTTAAGGGAAAGTGGACATTGCTATTTGCCAAAAGATTCGCGTACATTACTTAAAACTCCTAGAGAAATTGATTATAAACAAAAATGTGGCGGAGAATATATTTATTTTGGTATAAAATGTTCAGTATTAAAGCAGTTAGTTTTTCTTCCGAGTTTTCATTTAAACAACGATTCTATAAACCTATATATTAACATTGATGGACTTCCTTTATTCAAATCATCAAAAGTTCAGCTTTGGCCTATTTTGGGTAAATTTGATGGTTCAAATGTTTTTACTATTGCTTTATATTCTGGAACAAGCAAACCTAATTGTGTTACAGATTATCTTGATGATTTTATAAAGGAAATAAATATTTTGAAAATTGATGGTATTCATTTTAATGATAAAATTTATGCTGTAAAACTTAAAGCTTTTATATGTGATGCACCTGCACGATCCTTTCTTAAGTGTATAATTGGTCATACAGGTTATAATGCATGTGAGCGATGTCAAGTAAAAGGTTCTCGTGATAGTAACAGAACTGTTTATAATGATGATATTACTTATCCGCTTCGTATAAAGGAAGAGTTTAATCAATTTCTGTATATAAATAGCCATCAAGTGCAACTATCACCATTAGTTAAAATAGATGATTTTGACTGCATCAAAGATTTCATATTAGATTATATGCATTTAGTGTGCCTTGGAATTACAAAAAAAATATTAATCTTTCTAAAATCTGGTCCTAGGATATGCTTCAGATTTTGCAAGGCAACCACGATCTTTAGAAGATTTATTATTTTGGAAGGCAACAGAATTTAGGGAGTTTTTAATTTATTTAGGTGCTATTGTTTTAAAGGGCATTGTTTCAGATGCAATATATGAACATTTTTTGACATTTAGCATTGCAATGCGTATTTTATTGTCTGAAAATGATGAATTTCGTAATTACTATCTTGATTATGCTTACAATTTATTAGTATATTTTTGCAGAAAAGCCAAATTTTTATACGGAAATACGTTTTGTGTATACAATGTTCATTGTATTATACATGTTCATGATGATGTAAAAAATTTTGGGTGTTCTTTAAATAAGTTGTCTTCATTTCCTTTCGAAAATTATATGCAAACATTAAAGAAGTATATAAAAAACTCCAAAAGTCCTATTGTGCAAATAGCAAAACAGCTTTCTGAGTTGGAGAATTTACATTTTATGAAAAATACAAAAACCCTGGTCAATAAAGTTAGTATTCGTTTTCGTGACTCCTTATTTTTATTAGAAGACAGCACTTTCTGTTTTGTTAAAGAGATAGATGGAGAAAATTGTATATGTGATACCTTTAAGAATGATCAACTTGTATCCTTGTATAAAAGTCCTATTGATTCTAAGGAATTAAATGTTGGTATAATAGATATGAAAAAGATTCGTTTTTGTCAAAAAATGTTATGTAAGTCAAAACTTATCAGAAAAGCTGTTGTGTTACCTTATAAAAATGGTTTTATTTGTATGTCATTAGTTCATGAATTTATTTGATTTTATTTACAAGTGATTATTGTATAAAATAAGACTAATATTTGTAAACATAATATTTTTGTTTATTTAATTGCAGATTTTTTAAAATATACAACGTTTAACATAAAAATTGATTATATTAATTACTCCTTTAGTTTTCTCAATTTTAATTTTTGTGTTAAAAATTTTTTTTGTTATAAAAAAGATTAAGGTGATATTGATCTTACAATGGAGCATAGCAGAAAACTGAAAAATTACTTTTCTCTAATTCAATGATCTACTAATTAGTCAAATATAAAAACAAAATCTTTGATAATTATTTTTATATTAGCCTTGGTTAAGTTAAATATGGCAAGCAAAACTGTTAAAAATAAGTTACTTTGGACAAGAGTTGTGTGGGAAGAAAAAGTTGGTTCTCAATTTGAAGATGTAATTCCAGCCCATTGGGTAAATGAAAATAAGTGCGTGGTATTTTGGCCGTCAACTATGTCAGCCCAAAGAGCCATTTTGGAACAAATTAGCGTTGACAAAACATGGAGAAAGTTTAAATGGATTAAAACTAAAATTGTGGATGGTAAGTGGTTTGCTTGTATTATTTTAATCTATATTTGTAATATATCTGGTTATAGTATATCGGTAATGTTTTTTTTAGAAGATAAACAGCTATGTCTTGATTATAATTTTACTTCTGGAGCAGAGCAATGTAGCTCAGAGGAGGAAATAGGTTTGGAAAATGCTGCAGGTTATAAATTTTTATATTAATAGCTCAATTCTATTATGCTGTTTTTAATTTATATGTTTATAACTATAAAATATTTTTATGACATTTTATTAGGAATCATTACTAGTGTCGAACCCGAACTTCCTAAACCGCCAATAATCACTTTCAAGGAAAATAAAAGTATTATTTTTCTTTTAATTATGTATTTAATCATATCTTTATTATTAATGCAAGTTTTCATTCTATATATAAAAGAAGTTGTTTTTTCAACAAATATTGAAAGTTTGTTTATAAAAAGCTTAATTCAAGATTTACCAATAGTTGTCAAAAGTAAAATCATGAAATATTTGTTCTGACATAATAATTTTTAATGTTCATATATTTATTTTATTATATATGCTTTTATTAGAATCTCACGTTGTAGATTTTCATACCAATCATACAGAGTCTAGAGTATCAGTAAAAACAAAAAGACATACAAGTCCCTTTGAATTTACAACAGGAACGTCAATTAAAAGATCTAGTATGAATGTTTGAAAATATATAATATTGAATGTAGAAATAGTTGTTAGATGTGCTAAGATTTCAAATTGCCTAATATTTTTCCTTCATAATATTATTTATAATTTAAATCAAATGTATATTTAAATCAGTTCAAAACAGAAACCCATCTAAATTATTATTTCTTTAGAAAATGAAGCAAAAGACTTGCCAATTGCTAAGGAAGGTGATTTTAGTTTTCTCTTTTACAAAATATATTAAATTTATGTTTGTTTTTATTAAATTTTTTCTTTCTTAAATTCATTTCAAGTGTTATGTCTATATTAAAGGTAACTTTAAAATAATTTTTTTTTTTACATTTGAATTTTATACAATGGAATAAACACTGGTATATATAGCTATAGCACAGCTATATCATCTGGTATATATAGCTATAGCACAGCTATACCATCTGTAAAAATTGCCACACTGTAATAGAATTTTAATAAATCACTTTAATTTTTATGTATACTTAATCAAGATACCCATCAGTAATATTATTAAATATGTTACTTAATATTAGTTACAATACTCTTTAATATCTTTATCAAAGTTGTCAGTAAATTTATTGAGCGATTTATTAAAAGTTTTAAAATGTTATTATTTATAGAAATTATTAACTTTGTGGCTTCAAAAGACAACAAAGATGAATTTTCTATGTCTGAAGAAAGTAAGTTAAATGTTTTTATTAGTTATTGGGCCATTTTAGTTAAATAGCTAAGTATTTTCTCATATCATTTAGAATATCGAAAGCAATCCCTAAAGTTGTTAATAGAAATTAGAGATGGGATTAACCGATTATTAAACACACCGAATGTCAGTGGAGCTATCAATATAGTTAAAGTTAATGACATTTCAGAACTATATGCTGCAAATGATGAATTGAAAGATGCAGCAGTAAGGAGAAATGCTGTAAGTTAATATATTGGTTTGAAACCTAGGCATGAAGTGCAAAAAGAAAATATAATTAAAGTGAAGTAACCTACTAAATATCTAGTTAAGCTTATTCTTCTTGTTACTTAGTAATCTAGCTGTGTCAAAACAGGACCATTCAAGTTATGTGACACTTTATTTTTTAGGTCCCCCGCGCATTATGTTGAAGTTTTTAGTAATACTAGTTTTTGGTTAATTCTCTAACTTTATATACATTTTTTATTGTAACATTTGTTATATCTGTTTATAGATAGAAATGTTAAAATGTGTAGGGGGAAATGATTGTGGCGAAATGGTGCGCAATATTTTAGACAGGTATGTTATAATGTTGTATTTAAAATAAATAACTCAATTTATATATTTGAAAATTTCTGTTTCATAAATCTATTTAATAAAAGTTTATTTTAAAAAATGTGTTTAAGGTTATTTAGCATTTCTGTAATGTCGAAAATGAACATGAAAGGGTCATCTAGACAAGGGGAAGCAAAGATAGCATTTAAGAATTTAGAATTCTTTAGTTTGATTCAAGGTAAGAAAGTTAATTTATTTTATTGCATAACAAAGAATAATATTTAATGTAATATGGTAAACTATTTTTTATTTTTTTTCCAAATTAATAGCTGAAAATCAAATTATTTATGTTTTAGAGGTAGTCACCAGGCAATTCAATAACGTTTCAACAAAAGCACTTACAGCAGCTATAGGAAATAAGCTAAAAAATGCCCCTGGACAACTAAAACGCGACCAAGCATCAAGTTGAAAATGTTGTATTGTGATTGAATTAAATATTGATTTGATATATTAAGTTGTTTTTAATAAATCAAAACTTCTTTGCTCTAAAAATAACATATATATTTTTGTTTACAATAATTTCGCATTAAAAGCATCTAATAATTTGAAATTGAAATTATTATTTTAAATTAACAGATATAAGTATTTTAGATAAATGTAAAATTAGATAAATAGTAAAATTACATAAAAATGTAAAATTAGATAAATAGTAAAAGTAGATAAAAAGTAAAATTAGATAAACAATTATTTATCTAATTTTACTTTTTTAAAAAAATATAATATTTAAAGATTATGTTCTTTTTAAAAAGTAAAATGAATAAAAAAATACGACACAAAAAAAGATTTTTAAGTTATCTTGCAAAGGTATTATTCACGTCTTGATCGCAAATCTTAAATACGTGATTTTATATACGAGTTTAAAACATATATAAAAAACGCATCATAAGCGTATGTGAAATACGTCTTAAATTCATATTTAATAACACGTATTAAAAGTTTGCGTTTAAGACAAATACAAGACAGTTTAAATACGTATTATAGTATTTTAAAATACGTATATAAAACGTATTATATACGTATTTGTGCCGGCTGGGTTAGGCTCTAGAGACTTTTAGAAAATCTTCAACACTACCAAGGGTAGTCACTACCAAGGGTAGGTATAACATTTCATTCATGGGACTGATCATGAAGGCTGAACTATTTGCAAAGAACTTTTCTTCTAACTCCACCCTTGAATCTCATCTCCATTCTCTTCCTTCTATTCCAAAAAAATAGGTTAATTCACTATTAGACATTCAAATCACTCCAGCTTCCGTTGCTAAAGTCATATCTCAATTAAACTCTTCTATGGCTTGTTGTACAGACAACATTTCTTTCATAGTTTTATAAAAGTTTTCTGCAGGAAAAATGGCATCTGTTGTTCCAATTTTCAAAAACTCAGGTGAACATTCTGACCACTTTAATTATTGTCCGATCAGTTTTCTTTCTGTTATTAGCAAGGTCTTTGAGTCTTTGAGCAACAAACTTCTCACATCCCATCTTGAATCAAATAACTTACTGCTAGACAATCAATTTGGTTTTTGATCCTTTTGCTCTACGGCTGACTTGCTAACTGCTGTGACTGAAAGACTATATTATGTATAAGATGGAGGCGGAGAGGCTAGGGCTATTGCTCTTGACATATCTAAGGCTTTTGACAAAGTTTGACATGCTGGTCTTCTCCATAAGCTTGTTTCATATGACGTATCTGGTAAAGTGTTTAAGACTCTCGAATCGTTTTTTTCTAAACGCTTTATTAAAGTCATCCTTGAAGACCAACACTCTTCCTCACTTTTAGTAACTTCTGGGGTACCTCAAGATTCTATCCTCGGTCCTGCTTTGTTTCTCATCTACATTAAAAATCTTTCCAACAACCCTACATCTAAAGTAGCTCTTTTTGCTGATGACTCAACTTAATATTCCTGTCTTGACAAAAAGTCTTCTTTTTTCAATAGATTAGAACAGGTAGCCGATCTTGAATCTGATCTTACTTCTGTAACAGATTGGACCTTGCAGTTTTTTTCCCACACTCCAACTCTTTTGAACTCTCTCCCATCTTATTGTTTTCCTGATTCATACAACCTACAACTTTTTAAGTCTTCTGTCAACCGTTTTCTTGCTCTGTAACTCTGTCTTTTTTTTATAGTAACTCCCAACCTAAGAGTGATTGCTTGCAACCTTGTTAGGAGTGAATCAGAATAAAAAATAAAGTTGCAATAAAATCGCCATTTCAATTAGCTTGTTTAGTTCCAAAATATTTATGGAAAACTGTAACCGACGCAATAAATGGTTATTATTGTGTCCCGATACGCGTTGAAGATTGACATCTTACTACCTTCATTACATTTTTTGGACGCTAAAGGTACATTTGAGCTTCTCAAGGTTCTGTCTCCAGCGGGGATAGCTACAACAAACGTTTTGAAAAAACTGCAGCAGACTTTAGTCACAAACAAAGATGTGTAGATAATACCCTCCACTACAACGATGACCTAGTCAAATATTAGTGAACAATTGAATTCCTCGAGCCTGTTGATAAAGCTGAAGTTAAGGTCAAAAACATTGTGAATGTAAATTGGATTCCCCAGATTTCTGTATGGATAAATGAAAAATCACTCTTGCAGGGTACATATTCTTGTCATTTGCCAAAAAACAATACGCACCAGTAGAAAGAAAAATGCTAGACGTGACATGGAGCCTGGAGCAGACTAAATATTTTACACAATGGTGTGATAACCTTTTGGTAGTAAATGACTATAAATCGCTTGTTAAACTATTAAAAGATGGGACCCTGCAAGGAGATAGGATTGCTAACATACAACTTTTTCGACTAACACAGAGAACCATGTTATTGAAATTTGTCATTTAACATCAGCTAAGAAAAATAAATCTGGTGGCGGATGCTACTTCTTATTATCCCGCAGAGAACATGAAGGAATTTGTTAATTCAACCACCTGCATTCAAAATAATGATTTTTACAACATGGAATCACTAATAATAGCCTTGATACGAAACAATATAGATAAAATAATTGCAGTGACATGGGAAGTGTCACACTAGAGACAGAAAAAGACACTGATTTCAGAGCATTAGTGTTAACGGTTTCCCAAAATACCACAACAATTTAATGATTTTCGATGGGGTTATAACATACAACAACAGAATTATAATCCCACCCATTTTACGGAATGAAGCATCGAATGTACTGCTCTCGGCCCACCATGGAGTATCAGGAATGATAGCTAGAGCTCAAGCTACTGTTTTTAGGCCGGGTATCACTTACAACATACTAAGGAAGTACAATGACTGTTGCAGTTGTAATTGAAATGTGTTTTCTAATGCATGACTACCATGCATCCAAGCTCAAATTCTATGTGACGTCATTTGAATGCATATTTTCAGATTATTTTGAACTCCATGATCATTGGAGATCTGAAGATAGACCAAAGCCTACAGAATAAAAGCAGAACCATCAGAAATAAGCACAAAAAATTTAATCATGCGTTTACGTTATTTAGAACATTTGAAGTCACAGAAGGAATATCAACCGACGGTAGTCCTCAATTTTACCGCTTGAGAAACAAAAGAGTTTCTACAACAATGGTATAACTCATTAAATTTTATTAGCCTTCCACCCACAGTCTAATGAAAGAACTAAAATTTCAGTTAAATCAACAAAAAGTCTCCTGGAAAATAAGTTGGGACCAAATGGTGATTTAAAAAATAACGTTTTCGTGAGAGCAATGCTCACAATTAGAAACACACTAAAACCAACTTGTCAGTTGTACCTCGCTCAAATATAATTTGACCATGTTCAGAATAAAAACCAGAACTCCTATGTTTAATAATGATCAGTTTTTGAAAACATGGAGACACGCATGCTCAGCGTAAGAAGAAGTATTACGAACAAGATATGCAAAGACACTTAAATAACTTCAAGAACATACAGGTTTTCTTGCACACATCATGATGGAGATAGTGTTTTTATGCAAAATTGAGTAACCCCTAAGAAATGGGATTGCAATGGAGAAGTTGTTGAATGTAAAGAAAAGCATGTGGCAGAATTTAGCAACAAAGTTCAAATCAAAATCAGCACCATCTGCAGTATTGCCACCACCTCCGACATCAGCACCAACAGTATCACTACTACCTTTTCAAGCTATTGAATACCAAAGTTAGAGGAGAATAACCATCAAAATGTCTAACAAAGTTACGTATCCCGAAGAAATATTAACAACTAGAATCCAGAAAACTTTTGATTTTAGACGACTTTAAGGAATGAATCTAAATCTTATGTTGATATTCATTAAAACTTAAACACATGGAAGGGGATCTAGAAATATGACATTATTCACTTCTTGTTATATTTCATGTTATACAGTATTGTATAACAACTTTTTTAAACAAAAGTTGTTGGTATACAACAACTAACTATTTTAAAGAACCCTAAGACCATCTGGCTTTGATGCATTACCTAACTCGCTTTCTGAAAAAAAATAGTTTAAACACTTGGTCAGAACATAATAATCTTATCTTGATGAGCTCCCTTAAGAACTTAAGAAGCTAAACTTTTTAATGATTTTTGTGATGTTTAAAGTTTTGAAATATTAAGTAAATGTAAAAGTTATCAGCCATACAAGTACTACAATCTGTATTTGATAGATTTATGTAAACATAAAGCCATCAAATGCAGTTTATGCACGACATCAAATGTCTACACGTTAATAACAGTAAAGAAAAGGCTTTGAAATATATATATATAAATATATATATATTCAAAAGAAAAGGCTTTGAAATATATATATATATATATATATAAATATATATATATATATATATATATATATATATATATATATATATATATATATATATATATATATATATATATATATATATATATATATAAATATATATATATATATATATATATATTTATATATATATATAAATATATATATATATATATATATATATTTATATATATATATAAATATATATATATATATACATATATATATATATATATATATATATTATATATATATATATATATATATATATATATATATATATATATATATATATATATATAATATATATATATATATATATATATATATATATATAATATATATATATATATATATATATATATATATATATATATACATATATATATATATATATATATATATATATATATATATATAATATATATATATATATATATATATATATATATATATATAATATATATATATATATATATATATATATATATATATATATATATATATATATATATATATATATATATATATATATATGTATGTATATATATACTATATATATATATATATATATATATATATATATATATATATATATATATATATATATATATATATATATATATATATATATGCATATATATATAATATATGTATATATATATAAATATATATATATA